GCAGTTCCCTCACTCAAATGATCTCACTTCTTTCTTAGAAAGGCAGCTCTTGAATGGTGATTCATTTTCACTGATGACATAGACCTGGATCAGACTTCAGCAATGACTAACTATTGGGCAAGATTATCTGGAACTCAACAGATCATTCAGGACTGAGCAGAGAAATCCAACAGCCATGTCACCAAACACTCAGTTTGGGCCAAGCTAAAAATAGAGCTAATGAAGTGTTACTGTAGTTGCTTGCCTTACTGTACAAAATAAACTATTCAATTTTTCCTATCAGGAGAAAGGCCTTATTTAAATATTACACTAATTAACTTATATTGGCACAATAGCCTCAAGGGTATATTTTCTTCATAAAGAACTACGTATTCATATATGAAAGAACTGCAGGATCCAGTCTAAGGGTATGTCTTCACTACCAGCCGGATCGGCGGGCAGCTATCAATCCAGCGGGGATCGATTTATCGCATCTAGTCTAGACACGATAAATCGATCCCCGAGCACTCTCCCGTCAACTCCTGCACTCCAGCTCGGCGAGAGGCGCAGGCGGAGTCGACGGGGGAGCGGCAGCAGTCGACTCACCGCAGTGAAGACACCACGGTAAGTTGATCTAAGTACGTCAACTTCAGCTACATTATTCACATAGCTGAAGTTGCGTAACTTAGATCAATTCCCCTCCCCCCCCCCCCCCCCCAGTGTAGACCAGGCCTAAGTTAAAGCACATAGAAAATGGTTACTTTGGATCCAACTCTGTCCTCGGGTACATCAGTATTACTCTTGTGGAAGTCAATGGAAATTGTGTATGGATGCCTGGATCCTTTTATCTCCCCAATAACTGGCCACATGTTATCAGGTGCTTATACAGTTTGCCGTCCTGTGTAATAGAGGCTGAAGAATTTCACCCATCCATTGCTGCATCAAGGTGTTAACTTGTGGTTGAGTTAGAGCATCTCATTTAGAAAGACGTCAAATCCCATATAAAGACTTCAGGGCCCCAATTTTTAAAGGTATTTAGGTGTAGCTGCACTCAGCATTACGACCCCTGACTGCTTTTGGAACCTAAATCTTATTTTTAAAAGAGATTTAGGCACTTATGAGCCTCATAAGTGCCTAAATCTCTTTTGAAAATGAGATTTAGACTCCTAAATCAGTTATATGTTACAATGCTGAGCATAGTAATACTTAAATATCTTTAAAAATCTAATCCCAAATGATAGAATCTGCTACATCTCTTGGTAAGTTGTGGCAAAGAACTTAATTACCCTGACTGTTAAAAATGTGTGTCCACTTTATTTCTAGTCTAAATTTGCCTGGTTTCAGCTTCTGGCCATTGGATCTTGTCATGCCTTTGTCTACTAAAGAGTCATCTACAATCAGAAATCTTCCATAGCAACCTACAGACCGTGATCAAGTAATCTCTTAGCCTTCTCTTTGATAAACCAAATAGACTGAGCTTCCATAAAGCAGCTTGACTGGCTGTAAGATCCTCTGCCTGAGAACCTGAGGACCCTGTATAATAAAGATTGTTATAGTGTTCTGGTGTCAGCATCCCGTGTCTTCAAATGTAATATATTGGTTACTCTGTATACACTGGAATCTGATCATAACAATGGCCTGATCCAGCTCCCACTACAGTTAATGGAAAGACTCTGACGGACATCAGTAGGGGGTTTGTTTGTGCCCTTCGTGAATTCACACAGGATGATACTCCATTTTAGTGGAGTGAGAGCTCCATTTCAATGCATTTCAGTGGAGGGTCACCTACAGTGAAGCTTTACTCCAGCATAAGAAGGTTCCACTGTGCTAGACCCCTTGAAGGACATAAGAACAAAAGAACTGGGTCAGACCAAAGGGCCATCCACCCCAGCATCCTGTCTGCCGACAGTGACCAATGCCAGGTGCCCCAGAGGGAGTGAACCTAACAGGTAATGATCAAGTGATCTCTCTCCTGTCATCCATCTCCACCCTCTGACAAACAGAGGCTAGGGACACTATTCCTGACCCATCCTGGCTAATAGCCATTAATGGACTTAACCTCCATGAATTTATCTAGTTCTCTTTTAAACCCTGTTATAGTCCTAGCTTTCACAACCTCCTCAGGCAAGGGGTTCCACAGGTTGACTGTGCGCTGTGTGAAGAAGAACTTCCTTTTATTTGTTTTAAACCTGCTGCCCATTAATTTCATTTGGTGGCCCCTAGTTCTTATATTATGGGAACAAGTAAATAACTTTTCCTTATTCACTTTCTCCTCACCACTCATGATTTTATATACCTCTATCATATCCCCCCTTAGTCTCCTCTTTTCCAAGCTGAAAAGTCCTAGCCTCTTTAATCTCTCCTCATATGGAACCCGTTCCAAACCCTTAATCATTTTAGTTAGCTCCTTGACACATTGTAGTTCCAAGGGGAAATGGTAAAGCAGAGAAGGAGGGGGAGAAGGAGCAGAGAAGTGTTACCACCTTGTGTGGAGAGGAGTAAGGAGAAATCCCTGTTTCCCAGTCTCACTACAGCCCCACTTTGTGATGAGACAGGCCACTCTTACTAAAGCCACTCCCTGTGGGAAGCAGAGAGATGTGGCAGGCCTGATAGATCCTCTCTTGTTATATGAAACTCTGCTCTTGATGAAGCTTTCTGTGAAACAAACCACTTAACCTCTTTGAGGCAAGGACTATATACTCTGTTCCTCCAGGACCTGGCACAACGGGGTCCAAACTTGATCGGGGACTCTGGGTAGTACTAAAATATTAATGTTAAAAGAGAGTTCTATTTTATTTATGATAGCTGTTTATAAATGACCAAACTGTACACATAGGAATAAGGCTAGGGCTTTGAGAAACACCAATAACTAGTTACTTAGATTTCAGACCAGGTTTTAAGGTCCAAAAATCTAAACAATTTTTAAAAGGAAGTATAAACAGTGAATGGTAGCTCTTTACATAAGGAAATGCCTTTTTAACATGAAGTGGAAAATCTTATAAATGTACTTATATCTATCACAGATCACATTAGTCATTAATGTGCCTCATAAAACTCACTCATTTTGGCTGGACAATTATAGTAATTTGTGATTTAATTAGAAACATTTGGCCAGGGAATGAATTCCGGTGGAAAGAAAAACAAAATCCATTTACATGAACTTTTGTTTTGCTTTAAATCATTCCTAAAAGTTTAAACACTCAGCAGAGCTTGGAAAGTGTGCTAAGGCACGTAGACGAAAGAGATTAAGGTAATAGGTGCTATGTATGTGGTGCTTCTTCAAGCCCAGATTTCAGTCCCAAGAGTGCTCCCGTTGAAATCAACAGGAGTTTTTCAGTGGGAACAGGCCTGGACGTTTAGACATGTAAATCTGCTTCTACCAAAAGCCCTACAGTGTGCTCATGCAAATTCAAATACAAATGACCTGGAATATATATTGCCTTATCTACCTTTTCTATAACGTCATTTTAAAAGCATTTGTTTACCTGGAGCAGATACACAAACCACTGGGGCACATTAAGAAACAAACCTATTGATACACTACGGTGTCATTCTTTATTCTGAGACCAGTCACCAATCTTTTGCAGATGTACCAACTTTGCATGATCTCCTGGGACAAACTGGCTGATGCAAATAGGAAAGAACGGTTAAAAAATAATAAAATGTATAAATGAAGCCCTGGTCCCAGTGGCCTGCTCCCTGGACAAACAGAGGCAGGAACTGTTGCAGAGGCAGCATGCTTAGCCTTTTGGTGGGAGGGGAAGGAATACTTGGGGCTTGTCTACACTTGAAATGCTACAGTGGCACAGCTGCGCCGCTGTAGCATTGCAGTGTAGACACTACCTACACAGACAGCAGGCATTCTCCCACTGACGTAGGCAATCCACCTCCCTGAGAAGCGGTAGCTAGGTCGACAGAAGAATTCTTCCACTGACCTAGCACTGTCTACACCGGGAATGAAGTCAATTTAACTACATCACTCAGGGTTGTGGATTTTTTACCCAGCGATGAAGCTAGTGTAGACCAGCCCTTAGACCACCTTTGTACAGGAACACTCAGGAGAGTTAAAGTGAATCAGCTAAAAGGTGTGAAGTAAATATGCATAAATTAAAGGGTGTTCCATTCAGGAGTAAAGTGGCCATAATTTGCTGTAATTTAATCCTCGTCCAAGGATTCCAGGGTGGATTAAGGGCTTGTCCATGGGAACAATTAGTTCGCCGCAAACTGGGGTGTGAATTTACCCCGCACTAGCCTGCCTTAGACTATCTGTCCTTGTGGACCTATTGATGCACATTAACAGTTGATGTGCTTTGACAAGCCCTTAATCCTCCCTGGAATCCTTGGACGAGGATTAAATTACAGTGAACTACGTACTACGGCCACTTTCCTCCTGAATGAAATGCCCTTTAATTTATGCATGTTGACTTCACACCTTTAGTAGATTCACTTTTAACTTCACTGAGCGTCCCCATGTAGACAAGCCCTTAGGGTCACTCAGGCCTTGGCTACACTGGCGCTGTACAGCACTGCAACTTGCTGCGCTCAGGGGTGTGAAAACGCCCCCCCCAACGCAGCGAGTGCAGCGCTGTAAAGTGCCAGTGTAATCAGAGCCTGCAGCGCTGGACGCTTGCTAGCAGCACTGCAAGCTACTCCCCTCGGAGAGGTGGAGTACATACAGTGCTGCGAGAGAGCTCTCGCAGCGCTGGCGGCGCGACTACACTCGCGCTTCACAGTGCTGCCGCGGCAGCGCTGTGAATTCCCGAGTGTAGCCAAGGCCTCAGATGCGATTATTTTGGGCATTAAGATGTCACATCAGAGCTGCTCCAACACGAACTGCCTTCTAGTCCTCCCTAGCTAGGAAAGAGGCTACAGCTCAGAGATTCAGAGGAAAACAGGAAGGTGCTCATGGTTGCCATGTGGTTGCAGAAGAGCACCTCAAGGAAGGGGACATTTAGTTACAAATATGGACACAGTTACTATGTAGAGGTGTAAGTGTTTGAAGGGAAAGTGCAGACACCTACCTGTTCACAGATAGCATCAGCTGGTCCATACATGCTTTGATCTTGTTTTGTGCTTCTAGATGAGTCATATTTTCTGTGCTCTCTCCATTAATTGCCAGAATAATATCTCCGGGGCACAGGTTAGCCATGGCTGCCTTACTCCCAGGATTAATCTACACAAGGAAAGAAAGAAAAAAGTGCTACTAAAAAGGATGCATTGTATGAGAACACATAACAGTTAAAGAAAGAGGACTGGTTCTTTGGAAAGGAAGGGAATGTAGCAAACTTCCTGTTACCAAAGCAGCTGTGAGTGAACAGTTTTCAATGGAAAGGGCCATTGTGCTTTGTCTGGGATGGAGATATTTACCATGGATGGAGTTTGGGTGTGTTTTCAGAAGTAGCTTCAATTTTGGGCTGCCCTATTTTCTCCCCCGAAGACTGTGTTCTGTAGACACACTGGATGATTCTAGTTATGGGTCTGATTCAAAGCTCTTTGAAGTAAATTAAAAGATTCCCATTGACTTCCATGAGCACTTGATACCGATCTCTTTGCAAACTTGCTTTTTTACATACAATAATGTAATGTAGCCCTTCACTCAAAGGGAGCTGGGCACCTAAAATCCCTTGGGATCCTTTGAAAATCCCAGCCTCTATTCACAGGCTCCATCACATGCTTGAGAACCAACTTCTGAAGAGTGCTGAAAAAATGGAAGTTGGTGGGGGTTTTTTTTGGCAAAAACAAAGAGACGCATTATAGCAGTTATGCTAACAGCTTCCTTCAGAGGTGTGATATTCTACATCAACTTTCCCCAACTGCTGCTCAAATTACGTGTCTCTTTCCAGTCTTGCATGAAATATCATTATGCTTATTAAATCTCCATCACTTTTCCCCTACTGTTTTTGTATTAATGCCAAAATCTCACTAAGCTTAGAATTCCTTTCTGGGGAAACTAATGACATGTCCAGGTACCAGTTGTGGTTGGATTGTACAGATTTAGGGCCGAACACTACAGGTCTGAGTGAGCCATAGTTATTCAAAGCAGTGGGTGTTTTGTCTGTATCTGGCCCAGTATATTTCTAATTTTCGCAAAAATAAAATAAAATAATGTAATATGTAGGCAGTACAGTTGCCAATAAGTGGTGTCTAACTGTGTAAACTGTTGATAGCTAAATGTTTGTCCTCAAATTTCCTCCTCAGTCATTCATAGCATCTGTTTATGCTTACACACACTTGCTATGAGAGTCACCAGCATGGTTTATATAGTGAGAAAGTGCAGTCTGTTAGATATTGTACTTATTCATCTCTCATTGCATTTTAAATGGGATGTCTTTTGGATACCATTTAACGTCAGTCTTTATTTATACTAGAATAATCCTGTGTCTCAAGAGATGCGTGACTGCTTCAACATATTATTTTGCAGAATTACCGGGGCACATCTCTGACAGACAGATTAGGATTAAAAAGTAGTCTAATTTAGGATCGACTAGAGATTCCACCTCCCCATCCAAGTATAAACTACAAATTAGTCATGGAATTACAGCCTCTAACAACTGTCTCTTGGCAACTTCACTTTCTCATGGAAAACTCTTTGGCTTTGATTTTTTCCTATTACACACAACCCGTGATCTCTGTTGCATTTTACTCTTAAGTGGAACTATGCTTTTTTATATGGATTGCAGGTGACCGGCCTGCTGCTACAGAATGACAGTATTAGCGACATAAAGAAACCTCCAAACATGACTGTTTGGTTTGAGAATAAAGTGAAAGGGAAATTCTCCAATATTGTAACTTGGTCACTTCAGGGGGCCTCTAAGGGGAAAATGTTTTTAAACAAACAAACAAAAAATCCCCACAATTTACATCCCTAGAAAGTAAATTTCCTATGCTATATTCAACATGTGACTCAAAAACCAGGATCGCTACTCAGCTCCGTACTGTCTCCCTTGTATGCATTGTTTGGATGGATGCAATGAACAAACTGGCTAACAAACCACATATATCAATTGTATCAAATACTTGGGACCCAATTCAGGCCCTGGTTGATTTCTAGGTGCCACCAGGCATGCACACTGCAGTGTGTTATTTATTCTGAGCCTCCAGAGATACACTAGGGACCTTAACAAACAAGCACAAACATGATTCTTGCCTTAAAGAGAGCACAGTCTAAGTTTAAATATGACAGATGTAGTGAGATAGACAAGGGGTGAGAGGGAGACCAGGGCAATAGCAATATCACCTGGCTAAGAGAGAGGCTCAGGTAGACATTTTGATTTTGAGGCCTGTTTTGTATTGGCGAGGAGTATCATATGAACTCATGTTCTAATCCGGCCTCAGCACCACACAGAGCCCTCTGCGGGCACAAATTGTTCCCCTGGCAGGAATAATGTGGAAAGACATTGAGTGAACAGGGCAGGGAGCAGCCAGTTTAAAACATACTGACCAAGCCACTTGTCACAGAATACCCCCTTCATGATGATGGGTACAGAGTGCCAGTGGGGCATGAACTCTAAGGGCTTATGGGAAGACAAGAACCTCTTTTCATGTCTAATCAGAACAAGCAACCTGCACTAGGTCCTTTGATGCTTTTGCCATGATGAATCAGCATTTCTTATTTACTTTTCAATGTTTTCAGATGGCTTATTTTGTTCTGTAACTCTCCAAACCATTGGGCTTTCCACCTCCTTCATTTTTAGGCTCCACTGTGATGAAAGTGTCCATTTTCTATAATGTACAAGTAAAATCTAGATTCATGATAGGGTTTTCCCCCTCCATTCAGCTTAACTAAATCAGAGCTTACTTGGAGAATAAGCCATTCATAAACAGAGTTCTTTGTGGTTTCCTATTTTTAGTTTGCAATTTATTTAAAATTACTTTGGCAACTTTTTTCATATTGGAATTATTTTACGCTATTCACGGAAATGCCTTTCAGGTCTCATTAGTTTGGGATATAAACATTGGTCCTTTAGTTAGCTGGGAGGTAGAAATGTGTGTCAGGCCCAACATTTGTATTGGTTGCTGAATTATCTTTAAAGCACTACAGGCCAACTTCTCCAGATTTACAGCAGTGAGATGATCCCATTGACATTCTGAGCCAAATTCAAGCCACCAAGAAGTGGATATTAATGAGGGCCTCTAATGTGCTGGCTTTGGCCCCAACTGCATTTGAATCTTCTAGGGCAGTGTTTCTCAACCAGGGGTCCAGGGCCCCCCTGGGGGACCTCGAGCAGGTTTCAGGGGGTCGGTCAAAAAGGCCAGTGTTAGACTCACTGGAGCCCAGGGCAGAAAGCCGAAGCCCCACCATATGGGTCTTAAGCTCGTCCCCTGAACCCTGCCACCCAGGGCTGAAGCCAAAGCCTGACAATGTAGCTTCACAGGGGACCCTTGGGCATGGGGCCCCAGGCAACTGCCCTCCTTGCTACCCGCCTAACACCAGCCCTGGCTTTTATATGCAGAAAATCAGTTGTTGTGGCACAGGTGGGCTGTGGAGTTTTTCTAGCATGTTGGGGAGGGGGGGCTCAGAAAGAAAAAGGTTGAGAATCTCTGTTCTAGGGCAGACTCACATTGGCTTCAGTGCAGAATCACACTGGCTTCAATGGGACTCTGCATGAATACAGGGACACACAGAAGAATCCTAGGGCAGGATCAGGGCCTTTATAGGCATGAAAATGTGAAGTTATGTCTGGTTGTTGCCACACTAATTAGATAAGGGATCTTTTATAGCAGGGTAACAACCTTACTGTAGTTAAGACCAGGTTTGTGTTTAAAGCTTGACTCTAACTGCTCTAAAATCATGGTTAGCCTTGAAATTTGGTATACTTAACAGTGCCCTCTGGTTCTGACATTGATCCAAATTTGGAGCCATTTGAACCAGGGGTTCCCAAGATATAACTCCAAGGAGAAACAAAACAGCTTTTCTTATAAATTGAGAGATTCCAGCAACTCATTTTTGGTCACACAGACATCAAACCAGGGCTCAGTTCATTGCACCAGGGTGTCCAATGCTTGTAAGTTACCCCAAAAGAGTACAGACATGGAACCCACCAGCTCTTTGGGGAAATCAAAATTAAAAGGTTACTTCGAAAATATTTTGCTTCTTCAGTTTGGCTTGTCGCAAACCTGACCCACAAGCCTGATTTTCGTGCCAAATTGATTATCCTGAGTATGGAGAGAGACGAATTAATAGGACTGTTAGCCTTGGAAGTTTCACACCAGCTGGAGAGCTCAAAGGGATAAGCAGTAGGCCTCTGAACCTGACCCTCCTTGGGCAGAAATCGGAAAAGGGCTGGGAGGCATATCTGTAAAATCTGTCTCTGTTGGGGGAGGAGGGGCATGTGAGGAGGTTATTTTGGGGAATGTAATAAAAAAAATTGTAATTAGATATGCATATGTTTTTACTGGAAGGGGAGGGGCCTTTTAGGGGGAGGAGTGAGGGGAATGGGGTGAGAGAGGTTTGGGGCTGCATCAAAGAGAAAGAGACAAATGGTGATGGGTGGTAGGGGAGGGGAGAGAGGCAGGGGTCTCAGGTGAAGGGCAATGGGAAGGGAACATGGGTTGAATAGCAGGGAACTAGGGGACAATTGGGACATGGGCATCCCTCTCTCTACCATCCTATGTGAGCTGGGATCTGAGGTTCCCTGCCCATCTGACAGTCTGACCCCCCTCTCTCTCACTTATGTGAGCCAAGTTCTGAGGTGGGGGCTTGCCTTTCTGCGGTATCCGAGCCCTTCTCCCTAACCCCCATGTGAGCTGGGATTTGGGGAAGCCCTGCCCCTCTGGAAGGGGCGCTTAGAACAGGCATGCTCAGAGCAATGACCAAAAACACTGGGGTGAGAGGCTAAGAACCAGTATGCTTAACACACATCAGAAACTCTCCTGCACTGCTGGCAGGAAGGGAGCACCCACTGACATGAATGGTGCAGTTCACCCATCTCAGAGCTATTGTTTCAAGCTATGTTCGGCAACATGGAGTATTCTCTTTCCTCTGAGAACATCTGGTTGAGATGAATGGGCCACTTAATGCCTCACTGGGCCTGCAACTTTGAAGTCTGAAACCCACCTTGGGCATTTGCCTTAACTCTGTATTTCTTAGTTTCTGCTGAACTCCATGTTCCGGAAGGGTAAAAGCTATCCCCAGGGCACCCTTAACTGTATTAATGATTATTTTTGCAGTAA